GACACAGACTTTAGACATTCCTGCTCTGTATGATGTTTGAGTTTCCCTTTCTCAGATGACTGACATAAAATATTAAGATGAGCCTGTACCTGAAAATATTTAAAAATGAATGGTAAAGATCACTGATACTGTAAAAAAAAATCAATCTGCTAAGATACAATTCTGCCTACCTATCAGCCTAAACTCTACATATCCAATAGGATTCAAAGGTAGAATCTCAGCTGATGAGATGGAGTTTTCCCAACAACTGCTTATGTTGCCTTCAGGTACAGATTGTAAACTATGTTACTTATATCTCTTTATTTCAAACTAGGGCTGGGTAAAATGATCCCAGATATTTTTCTACAAAATCCTTTCTATTATTGAAAAAGACAAATTACATACATTACTTTCAAAACTAGCTTTTATTTCAATCATCCCTTCTGGGAGATGACCTTAATTTAAAGGGCTGAGAAATTTAAGTTAGTGAAGTAAAAAAATATATATATACAACAATGAAAATATATTTCAGTAAAGGTTTGCAGGTAGCAGCATCACATAGTGATCAAGTTTATCAGTTATGAGTAGAAATCTAAGAACAAACAGTGATGAACTGATGTGACTTTGAGCTATGCAAGCCCACAGATTGATATCAAATTGATGTATGTGTGTATATGAAGAACTGCATAGTACTTGGATGTAAAATAATTGCCATCATGACTTTGTCAAGCTGCTGCCCACATTTGTGAAGCAGGAAAAAGACTACCGTAATTTCCGGACTATAAGCCGCAACCTTTTCCCCATTTTTCGACCTTGCGGCTTATATAACAATGCGGCTTATCTATGGACTTTTACAGCTAACGGCCACTAGGGTAATACCTAAATCTATGGATTTTACCATCCACCATGTTGATGTCACATTTGCTTCAACACACAAGTACGGTAGCCCCGCGCGCAGGAATGCGGAGGTCCTCCAGGAAGCAGACTTCTACCGCGAGTGGTACGAGACAGAACGACAGCGAGAAAGACGGACATTGCGAGCGCAAGACAGTTTGTGTTAAACATAAAAAACCTGCGGCTTATATTCCGGTGCGGCTTGTATGTGTACAAATCATGCAATGTAGCTTCTGCTGCTTATATTCAGGTGCGGCTAATAGTCCGAAAATTACGGTAATACAAAGTGAATCCAGTAGAACTTTTATTGCCTACGTGGAATGGGTGACATTATTTAATAAACTTTTGGCCCCTTAAATTGGTATCAGTGCCCTATTTTTCGATACTCGCCGATACCAATACCACCCCCTGATACTGGCATCAGTGCAATACTAGTCTTTAATCTATAAACAGAGTCAAATTAAAGCATCACAGGCACATATTTGTTTTTAATATGGATTTTATCCTGTTAACACAATTAATAGTTTTTACTACTTCCTTTTCTGACCTTATATCTCATCTTTGGGGATCTAAATGTGTATATTCATATATTTACTTGTAGAGAGACATTTATGACAGTTCATACAAAAAACAAAAAAAACATTCAGTTTTGAAATTTCCACTGTAAGCTTTAGACGAGCAAAAACAAACTAATTTCACTAATAAAAAAGTTTGTTTACTGCTGACCAAATAGAAAACAAAATGAAGACGATAAAAACACTAAATTGATTTTTTTATATCATTACAACCCCTCCTCTGTTTGCATGCATATGTTCTCTCCAGGTACTCCGGCTTCCTCCAACAAACCAAGAAGAGGACTGTCAGGTTAACTAATTACTCTAAATGGTCTATGCACTACAGTCCCTGCTGCTCTGCACCAATTTAGACAATAACTGGATGGAAGAATGGGATGTAATAGGAAACACGGGACCAGTTCAATGGGACAAAGTTGATGTGAACTGGTGCAATACATAAAACCAAAGTGAAAGAGCCACTGTTTACATTTAGAAAGCACCAAAAGACAAATACAGGAATGAAGTAACTGGATAACAAGGGAAGAGCTTTATTGAAGTGAGCAGTGTTTTAAAAAGCTCACTGGAGAAAACAGGAATTCTGTTTGCTTGTGCTGCCTCACATTCCCTCTGCAGACTTTATGGGAACAAATTGAAATCCAAGCAAAAAAACCAAAAGGGGAGAAAAGTGAGGAAATAAAGTTGGGAAGGGACTCATGTTGAAAGAAAAGCAAATATTTTAACAGATGGGGAATGTTTTTGTGTTGCTCCTCTTGCTGTGCGGTTTAACAAGCATTAAAAAAAAAAGAGAGAGAGAAAATGGCTGATTCGGATTTTACCCTTCAACAGCTTGATAAAACACACAACGGGACCGGAGCAGTCAGAGGGAAGAGGGCAGGAGATGGAGGGGAAGATTTAGGATAACAATCTCTTGGTATGTACACAACTGCTGTGAAAGCAAATAAACTCTTCCACAGACGAGTCAAAAAGTAGAGGAAAAAAATGAATTCTGTTTTCATGCATCCATACACTGAAAAGGAAATACTGTTTGCCTGTGCATCATCTCAGTGTTATGCTCTTTCTAGAGGTTTTGAAGAGCATCCAGCGGCAACACCCAGCTAGTCAACATGCGGTCAGCCGACCCCCGCCTGCTCCTCTCCAAACAGCAACGGGCTCGGCACACACCGGACCCAAAGCAGAGCAAACAAGCTGAGCCGCAGCGCGCCGGGGAGGCCGCTCTGGCCCGGATGTTAAAATAACCCAGCACATGGCACGCATTATCCGTCTGTGTGACTTCACATAGTTTTTCACTGACGTTCCGAAGGTTTTGGGGCCCATTTCAGCCAGCGGAGTCCACACTTGTCACATAGCAACCACAACAATTTGTACATATCAAGAAGAAAACCACTGGAGTCAAGGAGGAAGATATGAACGCTTCTTTTTTCTGTTATTGCTTTCAGAACATAGATCATTTGAGAAGGTGTTCTGCTGCAGGAGGGACTGGTGCAACTCGCAGGATAGATGACATCATGAGGAAAGATCAGCCAGGACGTTAAAGCTGGGACAGATGGGTCATCCAAACGGAACCCTATTATAAAGGGCATTTTGGACCCCAAAGTCAAGGGGAAGAGGTCAAATGTAGGAAGGACTTTACACCAGGTTTGTTGGCAGGAATGGGCCCCGATTCCACTAAGGTATTGTTAGAAGTCTGTGGAAGGATCAGCGAGGTTCTCACAGGGTTTATACAGGAATGAGCAACTCTAATTTAATGCTTTTTATCCATCCATCCATCCATCCATCTTCCTCCGCTTATCCGGGATCGGGTCGCGGGGGCAGCAGCTTAAGAAGGGAGGCCCAGACTTGTTGCATTAAAAATAATTTTAATGCAACAAGTACCCATGACTCATATATACACAGCAAATTCCTTCTTCATCTTTACTGTCTGCAGGCTGCAATTCCTCGATTTCCAGCCACTTTTGTTGAAATTAGCATTTTCCCTAATCTACAGCTTTTTTTCCGCCTTGAGCTTCTTTTCTGATCATACGGCTTGACGATCAGCCAGAAGCTGTTCCGCTCGTATATATTGCGATATATTTGCAAATATAGATATATATATCATTTAATAAATTGTTTTTATAAACTTTTTTTAATAAAGCATTTTAAATGCCAAAATAATCACATTTAATTAATTTTAATACCAATTCAGGCCTTAATTTAAAAACTAATTATTTAATGACTTTTAATGATTTTTAATGACCTGCAGAAACCCTGTCTCACTAAACTGCCTTTCAGCAAACAGGAATGATTTTGGTGAACCTAGCTGAGCTAAAACAGGAAGTGATTTGTTGACCTAACGTCAGACATTCAGAAAGGTCATACAACACTTGCTGCAACCTTTTCTAGGAATTCCTGACATTCCTGATCCAAGTTCTTGAAACCTTGCCATAGTATCTGAACCTGCTAAGAGGCAGAGAAGAACTAAAAGGACCCAAGATTCCTCCTGTAGAAGCAATAAGAGGGTAGGGGGCGCTCTTCAGTCAGGAACCCTCATAGCTGTTCTTATGCAGGGTGAAATCATACAATAAGACTATGAGGTGAGTTTTAAATCACCGCTTTGTCACTGTGCGGACAAGGAGGACATGGAGGAGTTAATTTTGGTGTTGAGGGGAGTGAGCAGAGGAATGTGACACCATGGGCCCACAGGGGAGGATGAGGGACACTTACAGGAATCTCTGATTCCCGTTGAGAACATTTAGGTCAGATTTATGACAGACGCTCCACTGACCCTCCTTTTACTTCCAGGTTTTTTTTCATTTTGCTGCCTACTTATGACGCAATAATTGCAGAAACACCCCCTCCTTCCCTGGTCGGGGCTTTAGGAGCATTCCAAGACAAACAAAAAAGCTAATGATGGATTATCTTCCCTCTCTGAGTAACTATTTCCAAGAAATAACTGATGTTTGCTTTTATTTTGAAACACATCAAGAATCCCAGACAGACAAATAAAGGAGCTTGTTGCAGAATATAGCTGGAGGGCATTTCAAGTTTATCCTCTGTCTGCATATGACTGCAGGGACACATGGGTGCAAGATTTGCAGCTTTATGTGTACTTATATATACGATTGATGTGGCTGATTCAAGGATTGTCTGCAGTCCTGCTGGGCTGCAGACATGAGCTGCATACTGAGCGGGCTGGAAAGACAAGCCGGATGCTCCGAGGAATGCCTAGGCCATGCCAGGATCCGAGTACAGGCTGCCAGGACAGCCACGGCGAAGAGCAAAGACTTGAAACTACAAAATCACCTCTCAGCTACACCTGTGCTCTGTGGCTTTTATAGCGAGAAACAACCACCTATGCCTTTTTTAATTAGTAAAGTGGGAATAAAGCTCCTAAAGTTCTTTAAACCCTTTCTGCCTTTTATAAAAGAGTATGTTACAGCAATCAGCTGTCAATCATCATTTAATTTCTATTTATTGGATTAACAAACATCGAGGTGAGATTAGATGATTCCTGAACGAATCACCTGAGCTCCCTTCAACAGATGCAATAAACATACAAAGTTTCCATGGACTCACCCCGGCTGCCGTTCTCGTCATCCTGCAAGAAAAACAAACAGAAAATCCTGTCAGAAAAATTGTTTAGCACTGTTCTGCATTAGATTTTTACTTTCCATTATTTAGACGGTATAAAAAAATTATGGATAACGCGTTTATCTCCGCCATATTGGTCGTTTTTTTTTTTTCAAATAAGTGAATATTAATAATCCTTGTGTATTTGGTATCTTGGTGGTTTTGTAAGGTTGGCCAATGGCCGTTTATTTTTGTGCATGTTACAGTAATAGAGGTTATGGGATGCTTAAGACTTCAGGGAGTTTTTGAAGTTCTTACAGATTATTTTTTCCCATTTTTTATAGTTTGTTTCAGGTACTTTTTGGAACTGGCATAAAGCCTTTCTTTACCCTGAGAGAACTTCCAGGGTACTTCAGGGATTAAGCTGCACTATAAAGTTACTTGCACCTTGGTACAATGGTACTAAGCAGATGCTTTCCAGTAATTTGAAAAATCCTGCTGCTGGTATTTCTCTGGAAGTCCACTTCAGGCTCCAGAAAATCATCATTAAAGAAGATAACAGAAAATGAACCTTTTGGTTCCTGGAAGGTTATCTTTAGGTTTCATCCTACGTTGTATATTAGTTATCAGGTAATTTATATTCTGATTACAGTGAAGTAATTTAATCTGATGACACTGAAAACATTGAACTTAGAAGGACCGTGGCTGGGAACAGGTTATCCCAGATGTGTTTTTTTTAAACGCAGAGGGAAAACAGAATGATAATTTAGGGTTGAAGGAAAAATCTTTTGGCATGTTTCTTTCTTTTCCTCCAGTCAGCATAAAATCTTGATTTCCCTGTCAGATGCAAACACTCGGTATGTAACACCCCCCCCCTCTCAAACACACTTGTTTTCCTTGTACCTTTAAAACCTTGCTTCTTTAAAGCCCTCCTTAACACAGACAGGCGAACCCCAGCATCCTTAAATGAGGATTAGATGAAGAGCCCCTGATCCAGGGCCCTCAAATTAATTACAACGAAAAGCAAAGAATCTACATCAGTTTGTTTACTCTCCACTAATCAACTGATCCTGGGAAAGGCGTGCAGGTTTAAAAGGAGTCTGGCCAAGATAAAAATGAGGGATTGAGGGATTTAGAGACGTGTGAAAGGTCTACAGTAGAAACCCCGTTGATGCTTGGAGAAAAACAGGCACATTTCAATGTCGGCTCCAATGAATTTTTAGAAGGATCAAGAAGGCAGAATCTGCCCCAGAATGGACTAAAATATTCCCCAAACTCTTCTGTGATACCCAAGAGGACCTCTGGGAGAAACCGGCCGTAGCTCTCCGGTTACACTAATGTCTGATCATCCTATCTGTCGGGCCACAGCTTCTCTTTCAACATGCACAACCTCAGCCAAAAGCTATAAACAGAATGTCCTATGCTAACTTTGTCGGAAATCCTTGTGTGCAGAAAGAGGAGGTTAACCAAATACACTTCACAGAAAAGATTTAATCTAACTGATCCTGAGTTATCAGTCAAAAAACTAATAGGAGGCAGCCTGTGATAAGCTCTGAGAAAGCCATCATGCCAGCACATTTAGGCCATAGAGGAAAAAAGCCCCTTTAGCCCCAGTTAGTCTGGGCTCACTCAGAGCAGGAAGTGCTGCAGCGTCGGGACGAACCAAGAGGAGCAGATTGAAATGGCCGCCAGCCAGAAGGGAGCTGGCAAAGATGTTTGACGGGATGAAGCAGGTCAGAAAGCAACATTCTGCAGGAAGATGTGGTTTTTTTCCAAGCTGATAACGTTTAGCACTTGGAATAAATTCACAAGAAGAATGCTTAAAAGCTCTTTAGCATAAACAAATACTCTACTAGTCTTTTAATATCCTGAACAGTGGATAGACTTTAACACACTTCAGGAAGAGTTTTTTTTTACCGTGTTTATATCAAAATGATCAATATTATCATTATTATGAAGTACTAAAAAAATATTAACTTCTGTATTTTCATTATATTTTCAGATCTTTTGTTTAAGTTTTTATTTCATTTTCATTTAGTAGTCTGAGAGGATCATCCCCAAGGCGAGACACGGCGGTGGCAGCATTATGCTGTTTCACTGATGTTAAGCTGCTTGAAGAGAGGAGTAGGAAATATATCTTATTCTAAGAGGTGCTAATCTGGTACATACATGGTTTAACAACAAGATGGTGCTTAATATAAATTACCTTAAATGCTTTTAATAAAGAAAAACAAACCACTTTATGTCTATTGAATGAAATGCATTAACGTTTTTGGCTCTGACTTTATAAAAAGGTACGAGGGATACCGTTCCAAGACTCTTGAGGATATCAATGAAGGGTAAATACTGAAATGGGAATTCAGGATGAGGGAAAAACATTTCCCTCACAACTATCACACACAAAAGAAACCGACGGGCAGCACAAAGCTGGAAAAAGTTACAGTTTCAGGAAGATCGGAAACTTCTCTGTTTGTAAAGTTTAAATGGCAGCGGCTCCACAGGTCTGAACATTCATTTCTTTATTACAAACTGCAGATCAGAGTCACATTTGAACATAATCACATTATGTACCTCCATCTGCGCTACTCTGATGTGTTATTGTTTTCAATCTGTGCAGTCATGAGGAGTTAGTGTTACCCTGTTTTTATATGAGCTAAAAAAAAAAAGAAGTTTTTTGTGGTTATAAATCTAGGTGGCTTTGACAGAGCGACCTGTAATCGGCATCTGGGACATGAGGTAAGAGAAACCAGGCAACATTCAGACAAACATTTAAAGAGAAACAATAAACTGCACCTCTGCTCAGTTAGATGACAAATAAAAAGGAGAACAGAATCTACAAAATAAGCTAAATGTTGTATTCATTTCAATAAATTAGGAAATATTTATATATCTTAAAACAGATGCTCCCAGCTGTAAAGTAAATGTCTTACAGTAACCCATATGTTTTCAGTTGGACAGAAAGAGCTAATTCAAGATGTTTCGAGTTGCTAAAACATGCAACCACCAAGTTAAACACCTAGAAAACAGGCCTGATGTGGGCTGCGGTGTAGGAGGACCTGATGTGTCTAGAATGAGCCCAGATCACATGATTGGTGGCCTGACAATGTTAAGAAGCAGAACGAAAAAAACCTGCAGAAACTCTAAATTTACGTTGCTTACTTTTAATTTTCAGAGATCCAAAGTACTTTCTCAGTCTTTTTCAAAGTGGACAAACTTGAGCTTATATTTTTTTCCCTTAATCATGTCCCCAAAATGACTATTTAAGAAGCTTCATCAGAAGTCTTTTCAGCTGCCATGAGAGTCAGATGCGAGCTATATTGTTTGTCAAAGTGCCATCCGAGCCTTAAAACTTGGCGTTACCTTCAGAGAGTTGTGGACCGCCGACTCCGGTGGGTAGACGATGAAGTGTCGCAGCGTGAAGCCGAAGCCCTGCGACGTTCGCCGCAGGCGGAGCGTCTTCGGCCCCGGCCAGGAGAAGGGCTCCTCCTCGGCCCCTGGAGTAACGGTGGCCGACGTCTCGCTCTGATCCCGTCCATCCTTCTGCTTCGCCTGAAAACATGGAGGAAAAAAAAAAGGAATAAGTGGTAAAAACTTTTTTTGACAGAGGCAGCTTTTTGTCTCATCTGAATCTGAAAGTATATTGAAGAATTTCTTTAAATCAGGCAAATTTAATCTGGTAAACTACGAAATGTAGTTTTTATTTCTCAGGAGAAAAAGCTTTTCAAGCCAACCCTGCTCTATTTAAAAGAGCAAATAACCACTAATTAGATTACATATTTATCTTTAGTTAAATTTTTCACACCTATTACTGCCCAACCACTTGAAACAAGATAAAAAAAAATTTAAAGAAATATTTACAAATACAATTCTAAGGGTTTGGGACTCCAGCAAACCACGAAGAGAGTCAAAATCTATAAATGCAGAGAATCTGGAGCGGCGGTGAACGAAAGCAAAGTAGACGAACTGATGCATTTCTCATGAAGGTAACACTTAACTTCAAAAAGACAACAAACCCAGGAACAAGCATGGTAGCGGTAGCATGATGGTTTGGGCCTGCTTCAGGATCAGGGCAACTTTGCATAAGTGATGCAAAGATGAAATCTGTTGCCTTAAATGTGGGCTCACTAGTTTTGTGGCACGACACTAATCCAAAACACACAAGTATGTCTACATTTGATTGGCTAAAATAATAAATATATAAATAAATAATAAAATATATACCCCGAGGCGGCCAAAGAGTGGATGTGTATTAGAAATACCTGCAACATTTCTGCCCTCCAATATGGCTGCTCTTAACCTCTTAAAATTCACCCGGTCACTGGCGACCATTTTTTAATACGTTTACAACTAACAAATCAGAAACACTGGTGACACCAAAAGTTCAAAGCCCCACAGCTCTGGAACTGTTATACTTAGATGTCTGAATTTTTCTGCATTTGTGGCTGACATGATGTAGAACAAATATAGTGTAATATGAGACCTGCCTTTTCTCAAGATTGTCTTTATTACTGCTGTTCAAAAATGACCTACCGTCATTTTCGGAATATAAGCCGCAACTTTTTCCCCATTTTTCGACCTTGTGGCTTATATTACAATGCGGCTTATCTATGGACTTTTACAGCTAACGGCCACTAGGGTAATACGGTACCTAAATCTACGCATTTTACCATCCACTATGTTGACGTCACATTTGCTTCAACACATAAGTAGCCGTGCGCGCGGGAATGCGGACGTCCTGCGGAAGCAGACTCTGAGAAAGATGGACATTGCGAGTGCAAGACAGTTTGTGTGACATCCTCATTATGGAAAACAAACATTGAAATGCATTTGATGCAGCTTTTAAGTTAAAGACAGTCAATGTGGCAGTAAACGAATGAAATAGAACCGCTGCACGTAACCTTGGAATCAACAAGTCAATGGTGAGACGTTGGAGACGCCAGCAGGATGAATTGTCTGAATTCAATTGTGTTGAAATGTTAATAAATAGGAGCTTCCCCAAACAGTTGCCTCTTTCCCGACAATCCTCTCTCTGCACGAACCATATGGTAATTAAAATTATAAATTAAATTATAGTCCAGTGCGGATTGTATATGTACAAATCATGCAATTTTGCTTCTACGGCTTATATTTAGGTGCCGCTTATAGGCCGAAAATTACGGTATCATTTTCAAGAATAAAAAACCCCAACCCTGAATCATGTTTGAACTGATGCAGCTTGCTCTGCGTTCTACTCACCCAATTTACATTAATATATATATATTCAAAATGTAGAGGGTGTTAGCTTTCAAATAATGTATCGCACATGTAATTTGGGCTTACAGTTTCTAAGTTACTTGCTTTTCCATTTGAGTATGCAAAAAAGGAGAGGAGTTCAGTTGATAGTCACCAAGACTTCATGGCAGTTAGTGACACAACCATTTATAGAGCTTAGAGGGTTTTTAAAGCTTCTGAATGAGGCCAAAAGGTTTGGACAGTTTGAGTCCTTACTGTAACCTATAACCTGACTAACCTTCTTTTCTATATTACCTCTTTGTTAAAGATCTGAGACAAATACCATAGCTGAAACAAAGCAATAACAGCTAAATCTGAATAGAGAAATACTTTTTAAAGTCCTTCATGTGGGCGGCACTAACTGGATCCTCAGCTGTTTGCTTTTTGGTTGTTTAATAGCTGAAAGGAATGGGAGTCACTGTTGTAGCAGAAGGTCTTTAACATCTCACTAGTTTGTGAAATCCCCCTTTTCAGCGTCAAACCTCGTGTTTTTCTTTTTTTTTAATCCCTTTTGTGTATTTCTTAAAGTATAAAGTGCAGTGAAAAAACTCCAAAATGCAGAAAATGTGTCTGATCTTCCAGGTTTTCTTCTTCAGGTTTATTACTCCATCTTTAAATGCCAACTGGTGATTGATGCACAGCGAAAACATGATGAAGTTAATCTGCTGTTTCCATGTGGGAGCAGACTCCGGGGCGCATAAAGCACAGCGCGGTCACCATGCTGACATCATCCATGGTCATTTGTGAAACAAAGTGTTTCTAAAACAAAAGGGAGAGGTGTGTTTTCTTTGGGGAAGTGGCTCCTGGCTCTGGCCAGATCTTATTCATCAACCTGAACTAAAAAACATGTGAAAGAAAAAAGATTCTTTACATCTTCAGACAGAGGATTTAACAGAGAAATAATAAGAGATTATTTAGTGGTTTCTGGGGGAACAGAACAAGCTTCTTGTTTAATATCATCCTTGTAAAATAACAGGGGAAAAATGATCAAGTTTGAACGGCAGAACATGAATATCAGTGCAAAGTAGTTCAGCCTTTATCTGCAGCAACATGTATAAATATAAAGACATCATTGTTGCAGAATCACAAACAATCCTTCCTGTATGTAAAAAACCAAAACATGGAAACGGTTCCTCATATTCCACCTCTCAGAGATTGGGTCCTGTACTCCCTCAATGATGACATCCAGGATGATGGAGTCTCATTTCATGTAAAAGCTAAACATATTCCCCTCTTTTACTGGATTTCCGGAAGCCGCTGTATTGTGTTTAAGTGGGTGTCCAAAGTTCAGCCTGGTAATCCAATCAGGTTGTGTACTTTGTTTTGCATAAAGCTTCAAAATGCTGACTGGGAGTAAAGAGGAACCAAACCTTTACCTTAAACCCTTAGTGTCCGTCTGAGGCATGAGTGCGGCCCTCTGCTCCCCACACCGACACATATGGCTTCAGTTATTGCACAATTGAGGCTTTTCTGCATGTTTTCATAATGACAGACTCATCTTATACATTCCTACTGTAGCAGACACAGAACAGAAAACGAGCCTGTAGCTCTATGGCAGGTCTGTTGCGTAATGTTTTCTACATAATGCAACATGTGCATAATGTCGGCTGCAATGGCTACTTCTAAGTGTTTGCACTTATTCACTCTCAAATAGCCCTTACAGCTAACAACATCGAATTCGCTCATTTAAAGAGGATGATAAATGTAAACATTTTATATAAAACTAACCCTTCCGTCTGCATAGAGGGAATAAATAATGTGATCCAGAAATGCTCAATGTTAAAACAGATTACATTTTATAAAACTTAATAAAAATTTGGCCAAAATTGCCATGTTGTTTATGCTACAATGCATTCTGGGTAAACGACAGAAGCTACGTCCTGCAGCGTTAGCTCCGTCCACTCAAAACAGCAATAAGTAATGTTAAATATTTTTAGTTTGAACCAGAGCTCGTTGAAATTGATAAATTAGAAATCAGAAAAGGTAATGTAGATGAGGAGGACCAAACGGAGGGAGCAGTGATGGAAACTTCAAAGCCCCGTGAATCAGTGAACCCATTTGACACAAGTGGCCAAAACTCAACACCATGCTAACAGTTTTGAATGGCGACTTCAGCTATGAGAAGTACATTTGAGTGGGTATTCATTTCTGCAATGTTTGTGTCTCTGCCTATTTTAGATCTATGTGTAGGTAGCACACTATTCTGAATCAATTCTAAACTAGAAATAAATATATGATTTCTTTCTGTCTTTGAGCAAAACTGTAAATGGAAAAAACGAAGTCTGAGCTTCGATTCTGATGCAATTTAAATATTTCAGTAGTATTGAAACGTCCAGATTATTTAAATTTACCGTTAAGTTTGACGCAAAGTTCTCAGCGACAGGTGGAAGCTGTGTCACATCACAAGGAGGAAGCCGGGAAGGTTGAAGGTTAGTAGAGGAAGATGGCGTTTGCGCAGCTGATGCTAGGAGATGCTAACTTAGATGTAACGCTATGCTGCAAGAGCTCCGGTTTCTAGGATAGTTACGGTTAGCATTGAGTTTTAGCTATTTTCTATGAATATCAGAACGATGTGTTATGACTGAAAGATGCTTTACTGCTACTTTCCACCAATCATTCATCATATCTTGATTTGGTTTTCATTTTACTTTAGCTATGCTAACTCTGTTAGGTTTAACTAAAAAAAAGAAAAAAAAAGTAGATCACAAGCCAAACACACTTGTCTGTTACAATAGATATCTCCTGAAAACTTTGATGCTGCAATGTAGTGTGGCATTGTCTTTATTTACAATAAACAAAATACAATAACAAACAACTTAGTTAATGTTAGCCTTCCTGTCTTTATCCTGTAGGTTACAGTAAAGTAGGTCTAACTGTGCCGTACCTCATTATGCAGGTGAACAATATTAAAAAAAATACATAAAAAAATACATAAAAATATGTATCACCAACAGCTATTTTTAAGGTAATAGGAAAATTGCAACATGTTTTGATCAACATGTTTAACTAGTCGTGGATCCCTTCTAGTAAACTTGGAGAAACTTTTTAATGGGCGTGTTTGTTTTTCAGCTTCTGCTGTTGGAAAGATGGCCTCAGATTTGACTCTAGACTAATAAATCTAGAAGTTAATAGCCAGCTTTGTATGTTTCACAACTGAGTTACTTAGTCTGCTAAAAACAAGGCTGCATTTTACCCTAATGCTATGTTCACGACCACATGCTGCAGAAGCAGCAGAAGCAGCAGGTTTACATGAAAAGTCAATGGTTGACGCGCATCAA